CCATACACGACCCCGGCTCGGTCACGTAGCCCCAACTGCGGACTATTCTTATCAAACATCTTCTGCATTTACGACTAAAAAATCAGCTGCAATGATCTGCTTATAGAGTGTGCGTATATGCGCGAGTCCCCTATGCTTTTTTTAAACCCATGTGCGCGTGCGTGTACCCGTGGCGGGTATTGGAGTTCGTATGTACGCGCGTGCGTGCGTGCGTGCCTGCATGCGTGCCTACATGCGTTCGGGCATGCGTGAATGTGCCAGCGTGCGCGGGTAGGTGCAACGGTGCGCGCGTGCGTGCGTGCGTGCGTGCCTGCATGCGTGCCTACATGCGTTCGGGCATGCGTGAATGTGCCAGCGTGCGCGGGTAGGTGCAACTGTGCGTGCCTGCAAGCGTGCTGACATGCGTTCGGGCATGCGTGAATGTGCGTGCGTGCGCGCGGAGGTACAAGTGTGCATGCGTATGTGCGTGCGTGCGTGGATGGCGTGACTACGTATACGCTGTCATTTCACGAAGTGGCGAGATAGATAAGAGATGTTTCGCAAAAAGAAATGCAAAATCTATAAGCCTACGTGTATAGAAACACGTTTCCGCGGCGTGACACGCTTGCAAATAATAATTATTCTTTTCGTCTCACTCTAAAAAAATGGAAAAGCAAAGCGACATTTGAACATTGTTTGTTTTACAACTCTTGCGTTTTTGCTTAAGAACCCCCGTTATCACATCATGCGACTCGTATGTGTACAAGCGCGCCCATTTTGTGGTATTTTGCTGCGTTAGGCTGAAATCTTACCATAGAGCAAAGTCAATCAGTAATCTAAAGTTGATAACGTACACAGTACACAGAGTTATGATAACAGCATTCACTTACCTATCTATAGTTGTTACATTTCGATAAATCTCAGTAGAGTGCACGTCACATCGTTACCAACTCGTCTATATATATAAAGTTGTTCAGCCGAATTAGTTCGTACTCGCATAACTAGAGAATTCCGCAGCCTAGAGGAAAACTAAACTCTCTCTCTCTCTCTCTCTCTCTCTCTCTCTCTCTCTCTTTCTCTCTCTCAGCAAGCTATAATATGCAGTTTTCTTCAGTCCGTACTGCACCCCTGAAATACTACTCGCACACGCGCAATATCTCCCGAGAAGAAACATATATTGCGAAAATTATGCATTTAAAATGAAGAGGAGGTATTCTAGCATAGCTTTGTATGACAACATTCAATCAGTAGACTTCTCTTAAGAAATAGGGAGAAGACCTTGCATGTAATGTGCCCGCTGCATATACAAGTCAGTATACACAATATGGCTACGTTTCTTCAGTCCGTGCTACACACCTGAAACGGTGTTAGCGCATGCGCAACATCTTACCAGATGAGTTAGTTTGGATTTGTGAAGTAGATAAATGTGAAAAATATTTTATCTAATGGTCTCACATAAAAGAGGGTACTGCGCCCTACCGTGTAGGGTACCCACGGCACATTAATTTTATGTATTTCTCTCTCTTTCTAAACACTCACCTCGCCTCAGTTTGTTACGCGCGTCTACAGCGCGGATAAACAACTGACAGGTCGCTCATAGTCCTGCGCAGTTTTTCATCAATAAAACTAATTCCGCGTGACGTCATGTCGTGAAAGCAGACTCGCGCGGCAGCATCCTTGTGTTTATTGTCATTTCTAACGAATTATTCCTGCAATTACGTGTGTTGTTCATCTCTCCGTCTCGCCGCAAAGACGAAAGACGGAAAAAAGTTTTCAAATGTGATAATTAAGTACAACAATAGAACAGGCTTGTGATATCGACAGCTCGGCGGAAGTTTGAGTATCTCCGCGCTCACAATCAAGCTATAATAGGAACCACCGTTCACACGAGTCGACACCGCACAACAAGAGGAAGCGAGTGCGCCAGCGCAATTTTTCGTGCGGCCCGCAGGCTTTACGCGAAACGAGCGTCAACTTACAGTCGGTATATTCCGGTGCTAAACTAATCAGCGAATATGCCTGCCAGACCTTGCGCCTATATATAATACGGTAGTCTCCGTCACTGAGCGTTCGTGCGAGCATCCCCGCTGACGGTCGCCCACGACGTTACACTACCGGTAACAACAACGCATCATGAACACACCGGCTATGAGAGTCGCCTTGGTTACGTTGAGCGTCTGCGTGCTGGCGGGAGAGCTGACGGCGGTGCACGCACGCACGGGCCGCTTCTGCGGCCGACACCTGACCAACATGCTGCAGCTCGTCTGCCGCGGCCGCGGCTACAACACAGTGCGAACCACGAGATCAGGTATGGTGATTACAATCCGTATTTTACCCATAGCTTTAGAAAACCGCACGCATTACGAGGTCAGGTGGGGTGATTACAATTCGTGTTATACGAATATCTTTCGTACATCGTGCGCATTGCGAGATCAGGTATGTTCATTACAATCCGGATTTTACCAATAGCTTTAGAAAATCGAACGCATTACGCGATCAGGTGGGGTGATTACAATTCGTGTTATACGAATATCTTTCGTACATCCTGCGCGTTGCAAGATCAGGTATGGTCATTACAATCCGTATTTTACCAATAGCTTTAGAAAACCGAAGGCATTACGAGATCAGGGGGTGGGGTGATTACAATTCGCGTTATACGAATATCTTTAGCACATCGGGGACATTGTGAGGTCAGGTATAGTAATTGCAATGCGAATTTTACAAATAGTTTTAAAATTTGTGCGTCGCACAGGATCACGCATGGTTATTGCAATCCGTATTGTACGTATAGCTTTAGAACATGAGAGTAGCAGGAAACTGGATAGAGTTATTACAAACCGTATTGTACGTATAGCTTTAGAACATGAGAGTAGCAGAAAGCTGGATAGAGTTATTACAAACCGTATTATACGTATAGCTTTAGAACATGAGCGCAATTTTGGTGCGCGGTAATTACAGGCCATATTTTCTGACGAGGTATTTTGGTTTTGGGTTTCACGTGGCCGCCGTGCTTTTCATGAATATTCGCCCACCGCGGGGCACGTGAGGATCGTGTATCTGTTGACATTTTGCTTGCTGCGCCCGCGTCGAGGTGCATAAATGTCGCATAGCGCGAGCTAAGAGACGCATGTGCAACGTCGGCAGCCTACTCAGGTTATCGGCTGATGGTAATTGAGTTGAGGACTTGGAGGCAATTCACAGAGCCTTTGTTTGTTGCCGCATAACCTAATATGTTCCACATCAGAGACAATGACGCTAGTCGTCCATATATGCGCTTTCGTTAGTCCTCGACGAGTATATCGTTATATGTGAAATAAGAGTGAGAGAGAGGGAGAGAGAGAGAGAGAGAGAGAGAGAGAGAGAGAGAGAGAGAGAGAGAGAGAGAGAGAGAGAGAGAGAGAGAGAGAGAGAGAGAGAGAGAGAGAGAGAGA